CCCATGCTCTGTACAACTAAACGCTCCTTTGCTCTCTCCAATCACCATAGGGTTTATCCTGCCTCTCCAAGAGGATTCCAGGAAGCCCCAAAGTTAGGGCACACAAGCAGAAAAGAAAAAAAAAAAAAATCAGCCAATTAAATTCCCATGATGCCAGGTACTGGGTACTTTCCAAGGGCAGAGTGTTCTAGAAAAATGCAAATAATTCAGGCTCTCCAAAGAAATTCCAGGCAAATACAGACAGCTGCTATCTTAAAAAATCATACAGAATTGTAGTCTAGGAGCTTGGATGGAGAGGCACAGAAACAGGCAAAACATTTTCAGCCTATCAGGGATTCTAACTCACCACTGAGTATTCTTTCCACTCCCTCCCTGTTTTATACGTACCCTTAGAAAGAGTCCCTGTGCAGCTCATGGTATCTAGCCACATTTGTGTTCAATGCCAATGTGATAGCCTCTCAGTAAGAGGGGGTGGAGAGGTTGTCTCAATGAACTTTAACCTTTTTTTTAAAGTTTACATGAAGGTGCCTGGGTGGCTCAGTCGACTGCATCTGCCTTCAGCTCAGGTCATGATGCCTGGGGTCCTGGGGGTCCTGAGATCCAATCCCTTGTTGGGCTCCCTGCTCTGTGGGGAGTCAGCTTCTTCCTCTGGCCGTCTCCCCTGCTCACGGGCACCCACGCACACTCTCTCAAATAAATAAAACCTTTTTAAAAAATAAAGTTTACATGTTAATTCAGAATGTCTTCTTTCCTGTATTTAAGTGTTTGCCACTCTAAGCTGAAAAAAAAATCAAAAATAGAAATCACCACTCTGACCACATCTCTCCTAAAGATCTGCCACAAAACCATAGGTAAAATAAAAATAAAATTCTTATAATCGTCAATTAAGGGATTCATACTTGACACCAACACCAATTTTGGAATTACTGGGAGGAAAAAAAGTGCCAGCCATAAGACCTTGGTCCCACCTACCTTTTTCAGTCTTCAGCAAATATGATCTCAATTTGGCTGCATAATTCCCTTACACATTTTTAATGTTCTTACCTCATGCTCCCTTCCCCAATACATATATTAAAATCTTCACTACGCTGTAAAACAAGGTTTTCATCAAGGTAATTTCAGTAACAAAACTGTAAGTTGGCCTCACTGGGAGGCCATTCTGTAAGTTAGAGTGTGCAGCAAGAAAACAGCTGTCATCCCTGCACTAAGGACTGTGGCTATTTAAATCACTCCACCTGCAAATTACAAATCTGAATTACAGATGATGAATTTTAAAATTTTAAAAAAAAAACATTTTTCAAACAATCAGTTGACAGGCCAAATTTAAAGAAACATCATTCCAAAATAAAGAATATCTGAGATATCTGTTAAAATTTTAAGTTGCTTTAAGTCTCATTGTTAATTGTTGAAGCATTCTTTTAACACAGATGCTCCAAATGCCAAAACAAAAAACAAGAGTCAACTTAAAACTGCCACTGTGGGGGAGGGGTTGGGGAAACAGAATCAGAGCTCAGGATACTACTTCCCAAGCTCTAGAAAGCTTTCTATGTTGGGGGGGGAGGGGGAGAGACACACGACTGATCTTGGAAATGAAGTTTCACTATTTATAAATAGTGTACATGGTTTAAAAGACCCCGGGGTTTTCCAAAAGTCTTAGCTCCCACTTTGAGTGTAACCTTACGACAGTTATAGCCAATATTAAAACAAGTGTAAAGCAGATGTAATGTTTCAGGTGTAATGTACTATCCCTACAAATACAAAATGCATAACATGCAAATATAACCAGTGTCCATGGAACTAGTTTATAAACTCTTTAACAGCTTTTCAACTATTCTGTCCTATGCAAATAATTCAAATTCTCTGGCAGCCCCAGGAAGTTAAAGCACAAGAAACTATATTTAATTAAAGATTCAGTCTAATTCCCAGTAGTAAATCACAGGAAATATTTAGTTCCAAAGCAGCCTCTCCTCAGTTCTAAAACAGTTAGGTTTTGGTTGATTTGCATTTTAAATTTGATCTTTTTAAGCTAAAAGTCAGAATAAAATTTGTCCCTTTTATGAATCTTTAAAACAGGTTTGTTTTTCGAATCTGAGAAACTTGGTTTTAACAAATAACTCATTTTTATGAAAACTGTAACCAGAAGACTAGGTATGAGTTAGAATACTTAAGGTTGTTTCTTTTCTGCTTAAAATATCCTTTTACTCAAAGTGAAAATGCACTTGCTGTAATCTGACTTGCACCAACGGACTCTCATTACACCTGAAACATTTACTCACTCGAGAATGGCAGCCTGCTCCCTCCCAAAGCCGCACTAAGAGCTGCCACTGGGCCTCCAGCCTCCAATTCTGAACAGATTAAACATTCTATGATCACTTAATGGATCTTCTAGCTACGATAAGCATATTCTTAAAGATAAAATTATAATTGCATTTGGGCAAAAAAAATTTAGAACAATTAAGAAACCAATAAAAAAAATAGTTGGGGGCTTGATTTGGCCTTAGAATCTTTTTAAATTTTGGGACCCCCGGGTGGCTCAGCAGTTGAGCGCCTGCCTTCAGCCCAGGGCTGAAGTCCCTGGAGTCCCAGGATCGAGTCCCACATTGGGCTCCCTGCCTGGAGAGGCCTGTTTTTTCCCTCTGCCTATGTCGCTGCCTCTCCCTCTCTCTCTGTGACTCTCGTGAATAAATAATCTTTAAGAAAAAAAAAATAAAGCACTAAAATTTAAAAGTCTAGGTTATATTCCTGGTTTAAGAACACCCTAGTTTGGAATCCCTGGGTGGCTCTGCAGTTTGGTGCCTGCCTTCCGCCCAGGGTGTGCTCCTGGAGTCCTAGGATCCAGTCCCACGTCGGGCTCCCAGCACGGAGCCTGCTTCTCCCTCTGCCTGTCTCTGCCTCTCTCTCTCTCTCTCTCTCTCTCTCTCTCTCATGAACAAATAAAAATCTATTAAAAAAAAAACAAAAACACACACACACACACACACAAAAACCCTCTGGTTTAAGGCCATGAGAGGCAAAACTAAACATAATCCCCAAACACTGCCTTCCTCCATCTTGAAAAGCCCCTCCAGCTAACTGAAGTACATTGTATCCATTTCCAAGGACTTAAAAGAACGGTGTAGGCACACACAGTACTTTGAATATCCAAAAAAAAATTTTTTTTTCTTAAATGGCAAACTCTGTATAATAAACAACTCAAGCAGGGTTGATAGATGAGCAAGTCAAGTACTTCAAATGTTAAACTGGATTCCGCAGACAATCCTGATTTTGTGGCTTAAAAGACCACATACCAACCAACCTTAAGAGGAGGACGCACTTTACTTTTTTGAAACACTCGGTAAAACTGCGTATAATGTCTAATAATGAGATTGTAACTGGTACCTTTACTCTAAAACACATTTTGGAAAAAAAAAAATCCTGGCTCCTTCTCCACGAACTTCACTACGTTATGAGTAACTTGACCTTTCTGACACACATTAGCCACAGACATGACAGTGTGTGTAAAACCACCGTGGTGTAGCCAACTGAGCAGCAAAGATCAATCTCAATTATGCCGCACAGTCAGGATAAGGGGTGAGAAAGAAGTTCTCCACCAAACTTTCCTCTCTCTCCCTCCACCTGTGCCAGTGAGAAACTGTCAGCTTCGGAAGGCCGCACGGGGAACGGACCTCCGCGGGAGCCCCCCCAGGCCGGTCCTAAGCCCCCGGGGGTTTTCCGCCTCCCAGGACGGAAGTACCTGTCCCCACCCCGAATCCCTCCGGGCCTCCCTCTCTGCCAGGCAAAAAGGACCAGGCGCCTCATCCACAGTCCTCGATCGAAGCAGGACGTCCCCTACTTCGATCACGTTCCCGGGCTGCGCACCTCCGCTGGGAACGCCCCCAAAGTACTTATCACAAAGCCCCCTGCCTTGCCCCTCGCTCCCGTACTTCCGAAGCTCGGGAACACTTAGGTGGCAACGCGACAGAAAAGGTACACACACTCCCAGCTCCCGTCGCCCTAGGCAGCCTCTCCACGCTAATTAAAGGCCTCGGCCGTGGGCGAGGCCAAGTTTGGGGGCACTTCCTGGCGGAGGGAAGCGCTCGCAGCGCAGCCCCGCGGCCCGGCGGGGAGCGGCGCCCCGCGCCGGCGCGCTGGCCCTTTAAAGGCGCTGTCGGCCTACGCCTGCGGCCCCTCCCTCGCCGCCGCAGCCCCCGCCCCCGCCCCCGCCCCCGCCCCCGCCGAGGGTCACACTTGAACTTTAGCTCGCCCCGCGCCGCCCGGCGCCCGCGCTCCGCAGGCGGTGGCCGCCTCTAAGCACGTGTTGGACGCACCGTTCGGGCTCGGCGCGCCCGGGACCCCGGCCCCCTGTACTCGAGGCCACTCCGCAGGAAACCAAAACAAAGCAAAACGTACGCCGGCCTCCAAAACTGCGCTGCCAGCCCCCGGGGCCGGCTCGCGCGCGACCCGTCCCCTCCACCTACAGCTCGGTCCCCGGGCGGCGGGGCCCCGAGGAGCCTCGCCGCGCCCTCCTCCGCCCCGCGCGGCGGAAACAGCTCTGCGGCGCAGCCCAAGGCTGGGGGGACGCGCGCCGCGGCGGCGGCGAAGAGGAGCCGCCCTCAGCCCTCACGGTCCCGGAGGGAAGGGAGCAGCGGCAGGAGTCCTCCCGGTCGTGGGGCAGCAGCTCCCAGGAAACCGCTTCCTCCTTTCACTGGCGAACTTTTCCGCCCGCTCTGACGTCCACTTGTAGTACTTCCTTCACTCCCCAATTCTCCAGCGAGCCGCCTTCCCCGTCCCGCTCGAACTCTCCCTCGGCGCGCTCACACACACGGGTTCCTGCGCCCCGACAGGTCTCGGGCCGACCCACCGCTCACATCTGCCGCTTCTGGCGCGCCCCCTGCGCGCGCTGCCCGCGTGAGGCCGAGCGAGCGTCCCGCTGCGCCTCACCTACGCCAGCACGACCTCAGGTGGAGGCGGGGGTCCCCGCGCCCCCGCCCCGTCCGGCCGCGCGCCCCAAAGCCACTCACCTTCCAGCCCGCCGAGCTGTTGCTGTCACCCTTATCCTTGAAGTAGGGCACGCTCTTGACCATCCACTCGTAGATCTGCGACAGCGTGAGCCGCTTCTCGGCCGAGCTCTCGATGGCCTTGGTGATGAGGTCGGCGTAGGACAGGTTGCCCCACGCGTTGCGCCGGGACGAGCTGCTCTTGCGCGGCTGCCCCGCGAGCGGCCCGGTGGCGGCCGGGGGCACCGGCGGGTGCTGAGACAGCGGCCCGGGTGGCGGCGGCTGCGGCGGCGCCGGGTGCAGGCAGCCCGCCTCCGGGCCCTGGAAGTCCCCGCACAGTCCCCCGGTGGCGGCAGCTGCGGCCGCCGCCGCCGCCGCCACCGCCGCCGCCGCCGCCGCGGCCGCCGCTACGGAGCCCGGCGCCTGCTGGAAGTCCCCGGTCTCCTCCAGCAGGCTCAGGTTGCTCATGAAGTCGGCGTTGACAGCGGCCGCCGAGGCCGAGGGCAGGCCGGCGGCGGCGTCGGGGTTGGCGGCCGCGCCGCCCGACGGCGCCGGGCTGGAGGTGGCCGAGTTGGACTGGCTGAACTCCGGCCTGGGCAGCGGCCAGGTGCACGAGCGCGGCCGGGGCAGCGGCTCGAAGTCCGGGTCGATCTCCACCACCTGGGGCGCTTCGGCCATGGTGACCCCCACCCCTCCCCCAGCCGAGGAGAGCCGAGGGGTCGAGCGCAGTGCGGGGGGCCGGTCCGGGATTCGCGGGGGCGAGGTCGGCGCCTCGAGACGAAGAAAACCGGGACGGAGGTGCGGCGGAGTGGAAGCGCGAGCCCAGAACTTAACTTCGCGGGTCCATCACCATCGAAGCTCTTCCAGGTCCGCTGCACGGGCGGGACCGCAGGCCGGAGTCGCCGGGCGGGGCGGCGGCGGGCGCCGCACTCCTGCCGACAGGGCCGCGGAGCGAAGGACGGACGGACGGACGGACGGACGCCGCGGGCCGCTCGCTCCACCGGTCGCGCGGCCGCAGCGCTGCTGCCTGTTGAATGCGGCGGCGGCGGCGGCAGCTGCAGCGACTACGCTGCCGCCCGACTTACGGGATCTGCCACCGCCCCCCGCCCGCGGCGGCGCGCGCGCCGGCCCGCCCCTGACTGACAGCGCGCGCGGCCAATGAGCGTGCGGCGCCGCCGCTCGAGCCGCCAGTGGTCGCCCGCCGGGGCGGGGCCGCTTGTCCACCGGGAGGCGGCCGTGGCCGGGGGGGGGGGGGGGGGGGGGGGGAGCGGAGTGTTTTTCTCTTTCACACACTCGCTTTTTTTTGGATCTCTGTCATTATTTTCTGGTAAATCTCAAATGTTTCTGTGCGTCTCTCGCCCTCTCGGCGTTCTGATTGCTACGAGGCGAACCGGCGCGGAGGCGGCGACACTTTGTTTACTCCTGAGGCGCAAAGCCGCGCGCTCGGGGAGCTCGAGGGGAGCGAGTCTCGCTTCGCCTCGACCCCGCGGGGGCCCGGAGCGGCGGGGCGGGGGCCGGGGCACGCTCCTCGCTCGGCCGGCGCCGGGTGGGCGCGGGAGGCGGCCTCGCGGAGTTCCACTCAATCGCCCCCTTCTCGGCTCCACCCACGATTTTTTTTTTCTTGGCAACGAAACGTGGGGAAGTCGGTGGGTCTGTTTTCGTGTTCTGTTTCCTTTACCCGCGGTCGGCCAGGCCCTCCGGCCTCCGCGCGCGCTGCACAGCGCCCCGGCACCTGGGCCCCCGCGCGCTCCCCGCCGCCCCCGCCCCCCGCCCCCCGCCCGGAGCCCACCTGTCCGCACCCGCGAGCTGCGCCTCTGCGCTTCGGCCTCACGGGGGACCGGGCGTGCGGCCCGGCGGCCGCCAGGGGGTTCGTTCCATTCCCCACCTGACCCGGCGCGGGCCGAAGACGGCCCCATTCCACACGCACACGGGACCCGAACGCCGCCAGCCAGTCCGCGTGCCCCCGGCGGGGACGTGTCCCGGGCGGGAACCGCAGACTCAACAGTCCAGGGCGGCGGGGAAGGGATCAGAGAAGAGCGTGTACGCAGAGCCTTGTCACTTTATTACTTACCCCTAACTAAGTCCAGCTTCTTGTGATGCCTTTGCTGTCTAGGATGCAAGAAGTAAGGTGTCGGGAAATAAAAGCGCAACGGGGGTAAGACCACACCTGGGGTTCAGCCCTGCCCCACCCCCAGGTTCCTTTAAACTGTTTGCCGCGAGCGTCAACCCCAGCACCAAAACCACCAGCCCAGCCCACTTTTCCCCATCTGAGCTCCAGGTCCTGGACATCCTGTCGAGATCAATGGGGCCAACGTAGACAATGGTCCTTATGTTTCTGGGAGCAAAAGAAACGGTTTTCACGAAACAGTTCTTTGTTTTGTTTTGCTTTTGTAGGAGGCATCTCCTTTCAGAGGGACGGGATCCCTTAGGATGGAAGATTGACAGTAGGGTTTTCAATATCTTGTCCAAAATGACAGCTCCCAATGATTTCAGAAATCCCCTTTTTCTTACAGGTAAGTCTTCAATTGAAAAGTGGGACACCTGGGTGCCTCCGCACTTGAGAGTCTGCCTTCGGCCCAGGGCATGATCCTGGAGTCCCAGGATCCAGTGCAGCATCGGGCTCCCTGCATGGAGCCTGCTTCTCTCCCTCTGCCTGTCTCTCTCTCTCTCTCTCTCTCTCTCTCTCTCGAATAAATAAAATCTTTCTTAAAAAAAATGGCATCTGAAGAAAATTAGGCCTCATTTACAAGAGTTTGAAAGGACTTAAGAGATTTCTTTCTTTCTTTACAAATTCTATCATCTCCCTAGTTCAGACCGGTATTTCCTCATAAGGCACATACTGAAGTACGTTCCCACCAATACGGAAGCCTGGTGGAGGAGGTCATGAGCCTGATGGATTAAGGATAGGGTTAATGCTCACCCTCCTCTTTGTGGTCTCTGCATCTACTATCGAATTTGGACAGTTCGGGCCTCCTCTGCCAGCCACTAGGGGACCTCAGTAACCCAGATGATGGGCTCAAAGGAAGGCGATAAAGTTAATTCCCTCAACCTCTCCAATTAAGCTCTGCAGAGGCAGCTCCCACTCAGATGACCACACCCTACAAATAGGCGGTGCCCTGTTGGATCATCCTTGGCAAAGGAAACCAGCTGCAAATTTGGCCTTGCCTTCCTTTCAATTCCAGTTTTTCATGGCTTCAATCAGAGGAGAGTATTTCTTACAGACTTTCCCTCAGGTCTTTGAAATCTGGACAATCCTGCCTAATTATTTAAATGTTGTAGTTTGCTTTCTTTGGTCTTAAGAAGTTTGACTGGGGGCAGCCCCCGTGGCTCAGCAGTTTAGCGCCACCTTCGGTCCAGGGTGTGATCCTGGAGACCTGGGATCTAGTCCCACGTCAGGCTCCCTGCATGGAGCCTGCTTCTCCCTCTGCCTGTGTCTCTGCCTCTCTCTCTGTGTGTGTGTCTTTCATGAATAAATAAATAAATAAAACATTTAAAAAAAAAAGTTTTACTGGAAGCAGGCACAGAGTACCTACAGTGAGTGCCAGTGTCCTTGACACATAGTTCCAAAAAACCGAACGTATGTTTAAAGGTGTTTCTACCACTGTACTTGTCAATTTACTGAACCTTAGGATGCTGGTGAACATTTGGCTTGTTTCCAATCTTTAGCTCGCACAAGGTATTCTGTAATAAATAGCCATACATAACTCATTTTGCATCTGTGCAAGTATATACGCAGGAGGAATTTCCAGAAAAGAGATCACTGGGTCAGCAGTTAAAAGTATTCGCAATTTTGAGACACACCGTCAAATTGCCCTCCATAAGAGTTGTATCAAGCTAAATTTCCTTTTCAGCTAGAGCCACAGAATATTAAAATTGAAAGTAGACAGAAATCACCTTGGTGGCCTCCTTTAATTTCTCCATAAGGAAATTGAGGCACAGAGAGGCTGATTTGCCCAAGGTTACACAGAGGTGAGTGGTGCTGCCACAGCTGAAACTCCAATTTCCTGCTTTCCCATCAATAATCTTCTCGATACATAGACAGAAAATTAGAAATATCCACAATTCCTATATGGCACTAAGCACTGTAAAACTTAACAGTCTATTTCCTTCCAGTCAACCCCACATATTTTAGTAATTTTAGTTAGGTGAACTCCACTGAACTAGACAAAGTTTTGATTTAGAAGATTGAAGAAGCAGACGCAAAAAGGTAATAGTGACAGTAAGATAATGAAAGAAAAACGATTACAAAAGAAGTAGTTTTAAAAAAAGTAGTTTGGGTTGTTTTTTTTTTAAGTCAGAAACATAAACATTTTCTCTCGCTTTGAAGGACGCTAAAGTATTTAGGTTGGCACTTGTTCTGCTTAGGAGAAAAAAAAGTTCATTTCTTTTCTTCAGTATTTTTTGTAGTTGCTGTTTGCTTTGAAGGCTGTTTCTAATGATTATCATTTATTAATTGGTGCATATGGCCCGTCTGGGAAGAAAAAATGTTTCATGTCAGATAAGAACAAAGTGAAAAAGGAATTTATCCTCACAAAGCACATCTCACAAACCAGTGTTGTATTCTTTCCTCTGCCTGGTTTTCAGAGTAGCTACTCTACCACCCTTGACAGGAAGACTGAGGGTCTTCCGGCATTTACCTCTTGTATGTAAATACAGAAACTTCTGCATTTACCCCTCACCACCAACACACGGATCTCTGGTTTGAATTCTTACTTGTGGGGCGCCTGGATGGCTCACTACTGAAGTATCTGCAGACCTTCAGCTCTGGTCCTGATCTCTGGGTCCTGGGATCCAGCCCGACATGGGGGGGGGGGGTCTCTGCTCAGCAGGGGGGTCTGCTTCTCTCTGTGATCTGTCTAACTCTCTCTCAAATGAATGACAAAAAATATATATATATTTATTTATTTACCTACTTATTTAAATAAATAAGTAAATTCTAAAATTGTCAAAATGTGTAACTTAAGTCCAACTTAATGAGTAAGTGAAAAGCCTGGATGTTTATTTTTCAGTCATGACACTTCGCTTCATACTTCGTATTCCCCTTCCTGGTAACTGCCCATTTCTGCTATCTTGTCTAAATTATTAAGAGGACTGCTATCAACCTAAAACGGCCTTTCTTCACTGTGTCCATAGAAAATAACCCAAAAAAACACAGCTTCAGTTTCTTAAACCAATGTTCTGAAACTTGGCATAGTAAGTGGTAGCTATAGCAATAGTAGAAGGAGTCACTCATTTTTCTTGAGGGATAATTTCTTTTGGATTTTGTTATCCTTTCAACAAAGACATAGAGCACCTACTATGTGTATGCCAGGTATTGTGCATCTTAGAGTACAATGTTTTGATGGAAAATTCCTTGAGTTCACAAATGTTTTTGGTTGTTTTTTTTTTACTTTCCTTTATATGATTTTGATGTCAGAGTTAGGACAGTGATACTCTTAAATAATCAATGCATAGGGACGCCTGGGTGGCTCAGCGGTTGACCATCTGCCTTCAGCCCAAGGCATGATCCTGGAGTAGGATCCAGTCCCACATCAGGCTCCCTGCATGGAGCCTGCTTCTCTCTCTGCTAATGTCTCTGCCTCCCCCTCTCTATGTCTTTCATGAATAAATAAATAAAATCTTTAACAACAACAACAAAAAATAACCAATGCATATTAACAATATTTATTTGGAGGAATCACACACACGCACACAAAGCATTTGGTAGACACAAAGAATGCTAAGTTGGGAAAAAATTGAAATATTATCATCAATTTTGAAGAAAAATGATAAGATGGGGTAGAAAAGTTAAATAAATGTGCCATCTACAGGCATT